GGATGCAAGGAAAAAGGACAAGAAGGCACTCACCCTCATCTATCAAGCGTTAGATGAAGGCATGTTCGAGAAAGAAGCTTGTGCTACTACAAGTAAGGAAGCATGGAAGATCTTGCAAAACTCCCACAAAGGAGTTGAGAAGGTGAAAAAGGTTCGACTTCAAACACTTCGAGGTGGATTTGAAGCTTTACATATGAAAGAATCGAAATTAATCTCTGATTACTTCTCTAGAGTATTGGCTATTGTGAATCAATTAAAGAGGAATGGAGAAAAGTTGAAGACACTCGAGTAATTGAAAAGATACTTAGGTCTTTAAATTCTAAATTTGACTACATAATTGTAGCCATTGAAGAATCTAAAGATCTAGACAGTATGAGTATCAATCAACTTATGAGATCTTTACAATCCCATGAGGAAAGACTAATGAAGAAGGTGAAAGAAGAGCCATTAGAGCAAGCTCTTCAAACAAAGCTCACTTTGAACGAGGGTGAAGGAAGGTTCAGCAATAGAAGAAGCCAAAGAGGAAGAGAACGAGGCCAAGATCGAGGAAGAAGTGCATTCTACAAGGAGGAAAGAAGACAAAGCTCATATACCACCTGAGGTAGTGGAAGAGGAAAAGGTACAAGGCAAAATGAAGGACCAAGGTATGACAAATCTCAAATTAAATGTTACAATTGTCAAAAACTTGGTCATTATGCTTCAGAATGTAGAAATATTACTAACCAATTTGAGGAGAAAGCCAACTATGTTTGTCGGGAAAGTGAAGTAGATCCTGCACTACTGTTGGCTTACAAAGGTGAAGAAAGCAGAGAAAAGAACACTTGGTATTTGGATACAGGAGCAAGTAACCATATGTGTGGAAGAAAAAATATGTTTGTGGAGCTTGATGAATCAGTAAATGGCAACATTACCTTTGGAGATGAATCTAAGATTCCAGTGAAAGAAAAAGGTAAAATTTTTATCCGCTTGAAAAATGGTACGCATCAATTTATCTCAAATGTCTATTATGTGTCCAATATGAAGAATAACATTTTAAGTTTGGGACAACTCTTAGAGAAGGGCTATGATATTCATTTGAAAGATTATAGTCTTTCAATAAGAGATCAAAAGGAAAATTTGATTGCCAAAATCCCTATGACAAGAAATAGAATGTTTGCATTAAGCATTCAAAATGATGTCGCTAAATACTTAAAAACTTGTTTTAAAGATTCATTTTGGCTTTGGCACTTGAGATTTGGGCATCTTAATTTTGGAGGCTTAAAGTTGTTGAGTAAGAAGAAAATGGTGAGAGGTTTGCCTCCAATAAATCTTGCAGATCAATTATGTGAAGAATGCTTACTTAGAAAGCATTCAAGGAAAATTTTTCCAAAAGAGGCATCTACAAGAGCTAAGAAGCTGCTTGAACTTGTACACTCCGATATTTGTGGACCAATTAATCCAAGCTCTCTCGGTAAGAGCAATTATTTTATTCTTTTTATTGATGATTTTAGTAGAAAGACTTGGGTCTATTTTCTCAAACAAAAATTGGAAGTTTTTGAAACCTTTAAAAAGTTTAAAACTCTTGTTGAAAAAAAAAAAGTGGATATAGAATAAAAGCCTTAAGATCGGATAGAAGAGGAAACTTCACCTCCAAAAAGTTTGAGAAATATTATAAGGAGAATGGAATTTGTAGCCCATTGATGGCTCCATACTCTCCACAAAAAAATAGAGTAGCTGAAAGAAAGAACAGATTCATTCTTAACATGGCCCACTGCATGCTCAAAAGTAAGAGATTGCTCAAAGAACTTTGGACTGAAGCTGTTAATTGCGCCGTGTATCTGTCTAATCGATTGCCTTCTAAAAGTGTGTGGAATAAGACACCATAAGAAGTATGGAGTGGAAGAAAGCCCAGCATCTCTCATCTACGAGTATTTGGGAGCATTGCATATGCTCATGTGCCAGATCAAAAATGGTCCAAGCTAGATGACATGAGTGAAAGGTATGTTTTTATCGGTTATGACTCTCGCTCTAAAGGCTACAAGTTGTATAATCCAAGCAATGAGAAGATCACCATAAGTAGAGATGTTGAGTTTGATGAAGAAGGAGCTTGAGATTGGGGTGTCCAAGAAGAAGACTATGACTTCTTACCATTCTTTGATGAAGAAGAACAAGAGAATGGAGAGCAGCAAAAGATTATCAGTCTATGTCTATCACCTACTCATGGAGATGCTTCTCCATCATCTTCACAAGAAGAATGTTCAAGTGAAAGGACACCACAGATGAGGAGCCTACAAGAGCTATATGAGGTAACAGAAAATCAAAATGATCTCACACTTTTTTGTCTTTTTGCCGATTGTGAACCAATAAGATACGAAGAAGCGGCACAAAATAAAAGATGGAGAGATGCCATGGATGAAGAGATTAAGATTATTGAGAAAAATGATACATGGGAGCTGACAACTCTTCCCAAAGGAAAGAGAACAATCGGAGTTAAGTGGGTGTATAAGGCAAAGAAGAACGCTAAAGGAGAAAAAGAAAGATACAAAGTAAGATTGGTTGTCAAATGCTACAACCAACACTCGGGAATCGATTATGAAGAGGTATTTGCTTCTGTTGCTCATTTAGAAACCATAAGATTGATTATCTCTCTTGTCGAGAAATCAACTTTTCTAAATGGTTATCTCGAAAAAGAAACATATGTGGAGCAACCAATGGGCGATAAAGTAAAATGACATGAAGGTAAAGTCTTAAAATTAAAAAAAAAAAGCTTTATATGGGTTGAAACAGGCTCCAAGGGCATGGAATAGTAGAATTGACAAGTATTTTCTAGAAAATGATTTCACAAAATGCCCTCATGAGTATACCCTTTATACAAAGGTAAATGAGAAAGGAGATATTTTGCTTGTTTGTTTGTATGTAGACGATCTTATATTAATAGGAAATAATCAAAGTATGATCACTGAGTTTAAGAAGGCCATGGCTCAAGAATTTGAGATAACGGATATTGGCCTCATAGCCTATTATCTTGGGATTGAGGTAAAGCAAATGGAGGATTGCATCTTTATCTCACAAGCAGGATATGTGAAAGAATTTCAATATGGAGGATTGCAAGCCTGTATGCACCCCCATCGAATGCGGAACCAAGTTGTCGAAGAATGATAAAGGTGAAAAAGTAAATCCAACACTTTTTAAGAGTCTTGTTAGAAGTCTAAGATACTTGACATGCATAAGACTAGATATCCTTTTTGGAGTTGGGCTCATCAATCGCTATATGGAGACACCTACCATAACCCATATGAAAACTGCAAAGAGAATTCTTTGCTACATCAAAAGTATGCTTGATTATGGCTTATTCTATTCATTATCTAATGAATTCAAACTTGTTGGATATAGTGACAGTGATTGGGATGGAGTTAATGATGATAGAAAAAGTACGACTAGATATGTGTTTTACTTGGGCAACACAGCTTTCACTTGGAGCTCAAAGAAGCAATCGATCGTAGCAATATCTACCTTGAAGCTGAATATGTTGCAGCTACATCAAGTGTTTGCCATGTGATTTGGTTTAGAAACTTGTTGAAGACGCTTGGAGTTTCACAAGAAGAATCAACCGAAATCCATGTTGATAACAAATCGGCATTAGCATTGGCAAAGAACCCAGTATTCCATAACAGAAGCAGGCATGTTGATACGAGATATCATTTCATAAGAGAAAGTATTGCAAAGAAAGAAGTGCAACTGAAATATGTAACCTCCTAGGAGCAGATCACCGACATTCTCACTAAGCCACTCAAGCATGATGTGTTCCGCAAGTTAAGAACTCTACTTGGAGTAGCAAAATCAAGTTTAAGGGGGGGATGTTGAGTAGTAAACTTGATTTTTGGACTAAATAATATGGGATTAAGGATTTTGCTTATAGGCCCAAATCAACTAAAAGTCCCAACATGCCTAACATTTTTAGAAACATTATCTAGAAAAATCTATATAAATATCTCCTAGAAAAATTTATATAAATATCTAAGTAAGATATGTGGTCTTATAAAGAATATTTAGAGAATTCTAGGAAAATATCTTGATGTATGGTCTAGGTGTCTCTAGAAAATGTGTGAACTATAATCTTCATGTAAACACTATATAAAGGGGTAGGGGTCGCCCGCTCAGCTCGCAAAAACGGAGCTCGTGGGCGGCTCAGGCTCGTAAAAACACCAACCCAAAGCTAGAGTCGAGCGGGCCAGTTCGGTGGGCTCGGCTCGCACAAAAAACAAGCCGCTCGCGTCGAACCCACGAGCGACTTGTTCAAAATGGGCTCGTTTTTTTAAAGTGATCGAAACGGTCACTTTTTTTAAAAGTGACCGTTTCAGTCCCTGAATTATTTTTTTTTGTGATCGTTAACGGTCATTGAATTTTTTCAGTGACTGTTTTGGTCCCTAAATTTTTTTTTTTCTTTTCTTCATCTATAAATAGTGGCATTTAGCCACAAAATTTTCTACAATTCACTCTCAACTCTCAACTATCTTTCTCTCAACTCTCTTGTATTGTGTTGATAGTTGTGCAATTTTTATATACAATTTATACAATATCCAATTCTTATTTCTCAGTTCTCACTATATTTATTGAAATTTCATCCAATTTTCATTTCTCACTATATTTATACAATTATTCTTCTACTAGTTATTACTTATTACAATTAAACAAATAGATCCACGTGCATTTGTCGAAAACTTGTTCGGTGTGGGAGGAAACGAATCGCCTATGACATCGCAAAGTCAATTTCAGAATCAATTTGAAGGTCTAAATGACGTACCCCTACCTGAGGATATTCCAGATTTGGATCTTCATCATCATGTAAGCGACAATCCAAATTATCCAATTAATTTGGATAATGTTGACGTTCCCGAAGCGGAACACGATCGGGAAGAAGAGGCTGAATTAAACATTCCTGATGTAAGGGGAAGCGAAAGGGGAAAAACAAGCAAAATGTTGGGATCACTTTAAGTTGATTTCAAAAGGAAAAATCATCAATGGAGTCCAAGAATCCAAAGCAGTATGTAAATATTGCCAATAAAGATTGGTATGGTAAAGAGGAATTGGTACCACCCATTTCAACCGTCATTACAAAGTATGTGCGGCCAAACACAGACTTATTTCAGGCTGTCAAACACAATTTCAATTTAGTAGTCTAGACGTCGGTGGTTCTGCTGCACCCCTATCCACATGGGTGTATTCGGAAGAGAAAGCTCGAATCAAAATGGTGAAACTTGTTGCTGGTGCTGAGTTGCTTTTGGCATTAATTGACAACCAACACTACGTCTCGTATGTGAAAGAATATCTGCAGCCAAGGTACATTGGGGTAAGTCGAAACACACTTCGTTCCAATACAATATAATATTTTACTTTAACAAAACAACAATTAATTATGAATTTACAAAAATATGGGGGTGTCATATATTTAACTTCGGATATATGGGAAGGGATTAATAAAAAAGTATATATAGCTGCAACTGCACATTATATAGACCCACTTTGGTGCATGCATAAAAAAATTATTGCTTTTAGAATTATTGAGTTTCCTCACAACGCTAATAATATATTTAATGCTATTATTAGTATTGTTAGAGAATATCATTGCGAAGGTAAAATTCGTTCATTTACTTTCGATAATGCTAGTGTTAATAAAATAGTTGCTGAAAAATTGCATAAGGTACTACAATCTGATTTTGGTGGGTATTTGTTTCATATTCGTTGTGTATATCATATTTTAAATTTAATTGTCCAAGATGGTTTAAAATATATAAAGGATGAACTTCAAAATATTAGGAACGCACTAATATATATCACAATCTTTCCAAGTATAAAACAAGCATTTGAGGATTATTGTGCCGAAATAGGAGTACAAAATGCAAAAATATTTGTTAGCGATGTAGGTAATAGGTGGAACTCTACTTACTTGTTATTAATGTCATGTGAAGATTTTGAACATTTAATAACTGACTTTTATAACAATAGACATGTTAGAAGTGATGACGAGGATATGTTGATTGAACGTGATTGGCATTTAGCTTTGAAAGTTAAAAATTTTTTGACATCTTTTTATGAAACCACAAGATTTTATGCGTTTACTATCCCACCAGTTGTATGGTGCTCGAACGTCTTTATATAATTGTAAGAACATTTCATAAATACAAAAATGACCCTGATTTTAGTGAAATTATAATTGCTATGAAATTAAAATTTAGAAAATATTGGGAAGATTTGTCTATGTTATTTCCTTTAGCATGCGTGATGGACCCTCGATATAATTTATCGGGAACTAAATATATAATTGATCAAATTTCAAACGCCTTAATATTTGATACACTTATCACATATAAAAATTTAGAGCAAACATTATGTGAAATGTATGAATTATATGCGAATCGAATGGGTATCAATATTAGTTGGGTACCATCCGCACCTACTCCTTCCACTGAAATTGAAGAAGAAGATGTGGAAATATTTAATTTATTTTAAGGCATTAATTCGAATAGATTTGATTCATCTGCAATGTGTTCATCTACTACCACTGCCACTGCCATGTCGTCACCATCTGTATCTCATTCTTATCAAACATCTACGGGCTCAAGCCATAATGCATTGCCCGTTAAATTAATTGATTATTTCAACCAGAATATGCCAACAGATAAAACAATTAAAAAAAGTTCGGACAAAATAATTGAATTAGCAAAAGTATGAACGACGTTGGCCGGTTATATCTACGATTGCAAAAGATCTGCTGACACCTCCGGTTAGCACTGTTGCTTAGGAGTCTACTTTTAGTGCACATAAAAGAGTTTTGAGCGAGGTCAGGAGCCGACTGAAAGAAGATATTTTAGAAGCGTTAATGTACATTAAGGATTGACAGGACGCTCATTTTCGACTACAAGATAAATATGCCGAAATTGCATGTTGCCAAGTAAGTGATATTTGATTTAATTATATTGATGAAACTTTTCTTTTCTTATCGTTACTCTTAATTTTCTTTAAAAAATTGTACATGCTATAAAAAATTATTCGTGTACAATTTTTAACTCCGCCTACTGAAAATTGAAGTAGCCGGTCCCAAACCCTGATAAAGGAGGAGGGTTTATATTTTATCTATTTTAAAAATAAAAATAAAAAAAATAAAGATTTCATTTTTTTTCTATCTCTTTTAGTTAAAAAAAAAAAATCCTTTCCACCAATTTAGCTAAATTTTTGTTAGTACTTGGTACTATTACTACAGAACTACTATATATCTACATTTTAAATTCTTTTCTCGAACAACGCTGTGCGTACCTTTGCATATAATTTTTGAAGTAAATTCCTTCTGAAAATTGAAAGGGTAATCGAATGATTGCCCTTTCAATTGTCAGAATTTTTCGAAGTGAAGACTTCTGACAATTGAAAGGGCATTCGATTACCCTTTCAATTTTTAGAAGGAATTTTCTTCGAAGATTATATGCAAGGACATGTGCAGCGTTGCTTGAAAAAATAATTTTTAATATTTTTTTAAATTTTTTTTTCAAAAATTGTACACGAACAAACAAATAAACAACACAATTTTTAACTCCGCATAGTCCAAATTTAAGTAGCTGGTCCCAAGCCCGGATAAAGGAGGAGGGTTTAAATTTTTTACCTAGTTTTTTTATATACAATTCACGATTTAAAAATTAAAATTACTTTTTTATTTTCCAATTTACCTATTTGTTTCAAAAAAAAAAAAAAAGGAAAAACGATGTCCACTTGCGAGCAGGGCTCAGCTCGGTCTCGAGCTGCCCACAAGCCGCGAGCTCATGGGCCAAGCTGAGCTAGCCCATTTTTGGACGAGCCGAGCTTGGCTTAGCTAGTTTCAAAACGAGCATGATCTGACAACCCTATAAAGGGTTAGTATTCTCCATTTTATAACAAGCCAAAAAGTGTGTAAAGTCTTGAAATTGAGAAATACAAGTTTCTGTTGTTTACTTAAAAATCTTAGCCAATTCAAGTTAGTAAACCCATCTTTCCTCCAACACATAGTACTAGTAGATGGGAAAAGGGAGTGCAGAGATCATCAGGTATTCAAGAAAATGACGATGGGAGTACTTCTGATGGATCCAATATTCAGAAACTTATTCACAGAGATCTAGAAAGACAGAGAAGGCAAGAAATGGCTAATCTCTATGCTTTTCTTCGATCTATTGTTCCTGTTGAATATCTAAAGGTGAATTCATTATTAATCCTCTTGCACCTCTTAAGGATCTAATTGCTTTAGGTCCTAGTAGATCCAAAAATAATTAAGTAGTCAACTCCAAATTTGTCAAAAACAGAACTTAATTTAATTTATTGTTACATATACAGTTCTAACATGATATTCGTGGTGTTTTAGGGTAAGAAGACCATATCAGATCATATGCAAAGGACTATAAATTACATAACAGATATGCAAAGGAATATCAAACTGAAGAAGTTGTCAAATTCAGGCAACGTTAGCAACAAGGGTGAAAGTTCCACTAGTTTTTCGCATAGTTTAGTCACAGTGAACCCGTGCTGGGATGGTGCAGAAATTCTAATCAGTAGCGGCTTAAAAGAGGAAGGGTTCCCCATCTCAAGAGTTCTTGTGGAATTTCTTGAGATAGGGCTTAATGTTGTTAGCTATGTTTCTACAAAAGCAAATGAAATGTCACTCCATATAATTCAATGCGAGGTACAATTTGTGAGATTAATTTGTACACAGCTAGAATTAGGGTTTCATCTTTTATCCATTGCTTTGTGATTCCAAATATTTGAATTCTCTTACTCACCATCCTTCCAGGCCAGCGATATTGGATGCAATGATCTATCCGAGCTTACAGGAAGACTGGCAAACGTGATTAACCTTAAACGTGATAACTCTTAGATGAGTGTCGGAGAAGTACAAACATCCCAAGTGTTTTGTGCATTTCTTAAACATGGCGAAAGGTACAGCACAGGGCATCTGGATTTTTCCGTCATGCATGTGTGTGAGCACATTATAACTCCATTATATAAGAAGATTTTCTGTTATTGGATTGTACATTATTTTGATCAATTTGATAATTGTTGATAAGAACTGAGGAGAAAAAGTATTTGTGACTTTGTAGCTGCATTTTCTTGTTTAAATAAAATAATAATAATAATAATAATAATAATAATAATAATAATAATAATAATAATAATAATAATAATAATAATAATAATAATAATAATAATTGAATCCTCTATTGACTTCAATACATCTGACCATATGCGTGTCACAGATATGGGTTAACCTGCAGAAAATTTCTATCTGCTGGCCATATTAATTCATTCGGATGTTATTATCTTTTGTTAATAAATGAATATAAGCAAATTTAGGTCACTTTACAATTGGAAATATCTACTTTAAAAAATTTTTAAATATGGATTTTACAAGTATTGTAGCAGTCCAACTTACAGTACTATTGTATTGTCTTAAATGTTATCAGCCTTTTTTGCATCTTTTTTTTTGATCGGTAGGCGAAAAAAATCATATTGTTAAAAATGTACTGTTATCGTTTCTTTGGTGCGTAAATGTACTATTAAACTCCTGTTTGATTTTGTTAAAAATCATATTTTTGGTAGATGTTGATAGATATTACAGAAATGTATAGTTGAAAAGTTGATACAAGTTATGGATCATATGATATTTGAGGTTAAAATTAATTGTTAATTTTTAATTTAAAGTTATATCAATTTTTTTTTATAGCTAAATCAAATAGGGGCTAAACAATATTAAGAAAAACAAACATGCTTAAATTTTGATTATTATACTGTTTTGATGCATTGATTTATTGAGCCCCCGTTTGGTAGTGTTTTTCCGTTCAAAGAACTGATTTTTTAATCTTTATTTTATATTCTAACCGTCATTTTTTACTTTTTTCACTCACAGATGGCCCCCACTTTTATTTATAATGGTCAAAAAATCGATTCTCATAATCACTACCGAATGGGCCCTTAGTAAGACATAATTAGACCAGGTCTAATAGTGTTTCACTTTTTGTTTGTAATAATTATTGTTTGGCACGTAGAATTATACAAATAAATAATATTAAGAAAAAGAAAAAGAAAAAGCAATTGTTAAACTTGTTATAATGTTAAGATCCATATTTGGTAGATTAGATTATTTATCATAATATTATAACTCGTTTAATATCATTTAAATATGAACTAACTCCAACTATTTTTCCCAGTTTAGAAATGAATTTTAAATTTATTTTTGATATTCTTACAAATACTTTTGTTTAATTGCTTGGTTATATTAGGCTTAAATTAAAGCACTCACTTTGAAAAAAGAGAAGTTAAAATACTCGCAACGTGTTCAATATTTTTAATAAATTAAACTAAAGAAGATGATATAAAAAGACTTGTGATAACATTGTTAGTTACGTTGTAAAAGTTTTTACACTTGTTGTATGCCTTGGTAGTATATGCTTGTCAATTTTGTTGATATATGGTGTTTAAAAAAGGTCATTGATTTTAATTCAATATGCATGTTTTGTGGACTTTGTTGGTAAGCTAAAACGGGTGTAGGTAGGCTAATTAACTTAGTTGTCAAGTAACATGGTTCTCTGATGGCCACTATGTGAGGCTAAGAAAGTAGCCATCTATTACTGTTCACGAAAATATGTTTTGATTTAAATCCACCGTAATTGTACAGTTTGTTGACAAATAGTAAAATGAATTTTTGAGTCTAAATATCGTTCCCGCAGAAATTGTACTAGTTTAAATTCATATTATCTTCGTCTTAACCGAAACAATAGAAATTGACGATATTTCTAGGATTAAATTTTGTTACTAACTATTATAATTAAAAATGCAAGACCTAACTTAAATAAAATCGATGCAAGATTGTGATTAATGCTAGTTTGATTAAAATATGATGATGAAAAACGTATTTGGATCCCGAATCCCCTAATATCAATCTTCTTTAACTCTGAACCTTATAAATTTGACAACACGATTCAATTATGAAAATTCATATTCCTAAATTGTTTAACAATCTCTCTCGAGTAGAATTAAACTTATTTTTACATGTGACCTGACTATATTTCTATGACAGATGCGAACATATAAAAATGCATTAATGGATTTATGAATACTTGAAGATCACATAAAACATAATGATATATTTCTATTCCCTATCGAACTTTATGATAATTAAAAAAATGTATAACTTATTTTCATCTTTCGAGGGTAAAACATGCCACAATATTCATAAAATTAGTGATCAAGTAATTGTAGAGAAAAATAAATCTATGTCAATCATTCAATAATTGAATACGTGCTTTGAATGTCAAAGAGAAATAAAATTCAAAAGTTAAAGATTCATGATATAAGTTTCATCGTAAATTTTAGTACATAATAATTTAGCCTAGCATGTTAATGGAAAGAAACTATTAGGCAATTTGTTGTCAAATGACCCCTCAGGCTATGATGTAACCCCGGTTCTATTATCAATCGACCTTGGCCATATGATTTATTAGTATATTGATACAATTATCGAGACAATCCAATCCACATTTCTATGGACCGTTAGAAGCAACCTATTGTTAATAGTGTTGCTCACGGCTCGTCCCATTTCCTTGGAGGGCTATGGTATTAATTTGAAGCCCATTATTTTTTGAGTCGAGCCTTGTTTGGTCCACTAAATAACCCTAACCTAACTTACCTTGTTTGGTCACTTGCTTGGCTTATATTCTTGGCCTTCCTCTCAGCCTCCATATGAAGAATGCTCAACCTCTCTCTGTGATACTCTCCTCTTGATTTCTCCTCTTCTATGTGACCTGTGTGGTTCATTTCAAGTGGGCATATTATTGTTCTTCATCTTGTCCAACTAATAGCAACCAGAAGTGGGAACTTGGTAGTGGTGGTTTGGAGTTGTCTCAACCCGTTGGTGGTGTCGACTTAATAGGTGAAACTGAGCCCGACTTGAACTTGGTGTTTGCTGAAAACTGGCTCTACAACTGGTATCAGAGCCTGAGTCACCTTCTCCGACCAGAAATCCACCAAAAACGGCGACGGTGTGCACGATTTTCATAGAGGACCGAACTTGCAATCGCGTATTCCGGCCAAACCATGAACTTTTCGACGAAACCGACCCCATATCCGGAACCAGCAGGCTAAGGCGCCCATTCTAGTGCGGCGCGTGGTAGCGATGGCGAACTCTGCGACGGCGCGTGGCGGCGATTCTGGGCCAACTTCCTTTGGACAATTTGCTCATTTCAATCCCCTGGACACAGTGACACTGTTTATTTTCTGTTTTAGGTTACACAAATAAAGTTGGACAATTTTGTCCTCGGTGGATCGATGGTTGAAACTGCATATATCTACTGAATTACTTTAGGCCAAAATTGCGATCCTAAAGCAGTAGATTTGCATCTCTCTTGATTATACGGACTCAGACACGTCTGCTCTGGTAAATTGGCTTAACCCGTTAATTTTCAGCATTAGCGCATCACCGTGTAGGGTAACAATAGGTTGGGGGTTGTCATTGCTTGACAACCATTGCTTGTGCTAGAATTAGGGTTACGTGCTCTTGATTGTTTTGATTAAGTATTTGTTTTTGGGTTAAAATCAGTTTTGTAATTCTTAGTGATCTAATTATTGTGAGATTAGTTATCTGCTAGACGTATTTTTTTTGTTGCATTGTTATTTCCGCTGCTTACTTATTCCGTTAGAAATACTGTGACCTTACCCGTTCGAACATTCCCTTGATCTAAGACCGCAAGTCTTACGAAACTCTGAAAATCTAGAATGGTGTATACTGTTTGTGACCCTAGGACTACTTTGTGTGGTATGATTGTGATTTGTGCATTCTTTGACTTTTGTGTAAAGATAACAACTCACAACTTTGATTTGGAAATTTTTAATGGAAAAGGTAACTTTGCTATTTGGCAACAAAAAATGAAGGGTGTTTTAGTCCAACAAAAGGTTTCAAAGGCCATTGAAGATAATTTTTCAACTGATTTTTCACAAGAACAAAGAGAAGAAGCCGATGAGCTTGCTTATACCTCAATCATTTTACACTTGTCTGACGCCGTTTTAAGAAAGGTGGTAAACTGAAAATCACTAAAGAACTTTGGAAAAAATTAGAAGACTTGTATTTGCTTAAGTCTACACCGAATAAACTTTACTTGCTTGAACTTTTTTTCAATTTCAAAATGGATCCTTCAAATGATCTTGATGAAAATTTAGACGTGTTTAACAAATTGGTGCAAGATATAGTTAATTGTGATGAGATTATGTCCGAAACTTATAAGGCAATAATTTTGCTCAGTGCAATTCCTGATTCCTATAAGGAAGTTAAGAACGCCATTAAATATGGTAGAGACACGTTAACACCTGGAATTGTCATAGATTCCCTTATAAGTAAAGAAATGAAAATTAGGGCTGAAAAAATGATAAGAGGAACGGTGAGGTACATATGATGTGGGATAGAACTCAATTTAGGCAAAATAGTCATGATGGATATCAAACTAGTGACGAGTAAAGTGGTAATGGATAGAAAAAAGAAGAGCAAAGGTAGGTCTAGATCAAAATCTAGGACTAAGGCGAGAAAATGCTTGGAAACACAGGGCATTTTATAAAAGATTATCATAAGGAGAAAGGTAAGCTAAGCGTTAAGGAGAGAGATGAGGTTAATGTGTTAGCATCTACTTCCGATATAAATGGTGGTGAGGTCTATATGATTACAAGTCCCGTTGCATACACTGCTGAATTAAATCTAACTGCTAATTCCCGCATGCATGAGTAGATACTTGACTCTGGTGCATCTTTTCATGTGACGTCTGAAAAGAATTGGTTTTATAAGTTGCATGAATCTAATGTTGGGCATGTTGAACTGTGTGATAACTTTGCTTA